GAAGTCCCAAACGAAAATTAGCAAACGAGCATGACGTCCTCCTGTTGCGCACCGCCGTCTGCGTAATCAACCCCCCCTCCCTGGGAGGGGGAAGGGGGAGCCCCAGACCTTTCGTGCCGGCGACCCAACACTTTCTTAGGCTGGATGTCAAAACACATGAAAAACACTGCCGACTGGAGGGAGGGATGCCAGGGAGCCTATGGGACACCCAGAAAATGGCATTTCATTACATTCAACGCTGGTTTTCTGGGGGATGCCCCATTAGCTCCCCAGAGCTAACTACCCAAAGTGAAGGAAAATAAGGGACTTACCCAGAAGGCAGTCCGTCCTCACTCCTCAACGTGAAGTCGAGACAAGTGGCTGCAACCGCCGACCCAACACAATGCAGGCCCTACTAGGCCCAGGGACATTCACCAGGTAGCGAGCTGCCAGGACCCTGTTCGACCTCCAAAAACCCCGGCCCCGAAGGTCAACCCAGCACATGTTGCCAAAGACGGCAGTCAAGGCAGCAAACTTACGAACATCATGGGCCCGGGGATAGACCACAGGCTGGCTAGACTTAATAACCCTGCGGACGACCTGAGAAACCCATGCCCGGTAACAGGGAAGAAGGGAAACCAGTCAACCCAAAGTGCATCCCCGGCCACCGAAGCCGTAGCACGCAAATAATGGCGGAGAGCCGCAACCAGACAACACCTGATGCACCCCAGGCCTGACCAACCAAGCATCAACGACCTAACGCCCCCCTCCAGAACGCAGCCGTCTCATTCTTCACCAGAAAAAAAGGAGACAGCTGCAAGCAAACAAAACTCCCCCCAGGACCAAAAGAGCAGAAACCCCTGCGCCAGAGGAGAGCATGAAGCTCCCCCACCCAACCCCCAAAGGCCAATGCCAACAGAAACACTCCGAAACGGAAGGAGCCACAACAAACCGAGGAGGAGAGAGAAACGAGAGCACCCAGTCCAAGGACCAGGACAGCTCAGGCGGCGCATGAGCAGGCCGGAGGTGAAACAACGAACGAGATAGCTTGCGGAATGGAGCACAAGTAACATCAACACTAAAAGCAAGCTGAAGCGGCTCCGCCAACGCCACACGATACGAGGCGACAGTATTCGGCATAAGATGACAGTCCTGGAACAACCAAGAAAGAAAGGACAAGACAACCCTATCAGAGACCGAAAAACACCTACGCGATGATGAGAAAAAATGGAAGGACCGCCAGGAAACTTCATACTGCCGCTGAGATGAAGCACGCAGGTGGGAGACCAACAACGAGGCCACCTGCGCACCATACAAGTGATGATAATCTCGAGTCAAAAACTCCAGCCACAGACTCAAGGAGACCGAACCAGCTTCGTACCAGACTGGCCCGATCTGCTGAAAGAGGTGGAGCCACGGGAAGACCCTCGGGTTCGGACATCGAGCAAGCAGAGCCTGAAACCAAGCCTGGGCCGGCCACCAAAGAGCCAGAAGGACAACTCTCCCCTGGTAAGTCTCCAAGCGAGCCAGGACCTGGAGTAACAGCTGAATCGGAGGGAAGAGGTATAAGTAACCCCAGCGTGCCAAATCCAACCGAAAGGCATCGACCCCAATGGCCTCGCAGTCGGGGATGGGCGCCACATATACCGGAAGACGCCTCGACCATGCCCACATGAAGCGATCCACGTCTGGAAGCCCGAACGTCCGGCAGAGCCAACTGAAGGAGCTGGCATCGACCGTCCATTCCGTGGACAGTGGAATGAACAGTGACAGACCACCCGCCAAGACATTGGACACTCCTCGAACGTAAACCACCAGGAGAGCCAAACCCCGAGAACTCGGCAGATGAGTCATCCGAAGCGATCAGCCCCTCAGCCAAGAATTGGTGTTGGGTCGCGGCGTGAGAGGTCTGGGGCTCCCCCTTCCCCCTCCCCCTCCTGGGGTGGGGGGTGGTTGGGAGGTTGAGCAGACGGCGGCGCGGCCACATGATGATGTCATGCTCATTTGCTAATTTTTGTTTGGGGAGTTCTGTCCACTTTTTCAGCTTTCGGTAGCAATAGTTTTACCAGAATAGGGGTTTGTTTTCGGGCGCCTACCTTTCTGGGTGCCTGTCCTGGTCGATGGCAGACATAGAATGCTCCCAACCACATGGGGGTTTCTATAGGTCATTGCTCCTCGTGCCTCTTCTGAGGGGGCCAGGTTTTGGCTCGTGGTCCCCAGTAGGCAAGAACTCCAAGCACTTTGACTGATGCCAGAAAGTTATACATATTCATTCAACCTGGATAACTCCGGGGAGCCGACGGGGCTCCCCCCAGAAAAAAATATGTGAAGAATCCAACTTCAGCAGTAACAAATTCAAATTACTTTGGGACAGAGAAACAAACCTTAACCCTTCAGTTGTGTATATCAACCAAGGTCATTTAATTGATGGCGTGCCTGTTCAACCAGGGTCCTTTTTATGTCTTGAACAAGATTTAAAACTCATATGCGGTAAACAAGACACCAATTCACTGTCTTAGGCTTCCACCTATCATCTTTAAAAGCAAATCATGGGCACCCACATCTTGGCCAGTATACCTCAGTTTGCACACGGTAATCATGTGTGTATCACAGTAAGAGGGATTCATTGCAACCAGAATGCCTCCAGGATGCATTTCCCATACCCTATGGGCTGATTTTCCTTAGCAAAATATTTAATTTCAACCTATAATAGACAACTACTAAATGAACATGTCTGAAAAAAAAAAAAAATTAACCACATCTAGCTTATTTCTCATATCCCCACCTCATAACTCATATTTAAAAGGTAGCAGGGCCACCACCAGTAGGGTGAATGAGAACCTTGCCAACTCAGGATAAAATCAAACAATAGAATTTGGCTTTAAATATCATCCTCAGTAGCTTTCCCATGGCTCCAACTGTTTCTTGTAATGAAGTAGTGACCAGGTTGTGGCTCTGGTCCCCATTATACCTATAGAACTCCGTGGCTGATGCAACCTATTATATGGTACACTATCGGTGAAAGTAGCTTCAGGGTACCACAAGGGCTCTCCCCAGTAATTATATTTGTTGTTTGACTTTGACCAAAAAAGAAAACCCATAAAAGATAATTTGAAAGGCAACAAGAATAAGTATCATATAATGACTACCTCAGCAATCCTATACATGTCTTATTATGCTATTTAATTAACAAACCAGTTGATATTTTACCCAACACGTGTGTCATAACAGGTGAAAAGTGGTAGGTGGGTGATGAAGATCAATAAAGAATACACTGTTGCCATAGATATAAGAAGAAGTGCCTTGACAAGCACTGGCAACCGAAGAAACACTGATGTTGCTATGAAACCAACAACACAAGACAGTGGAATATATTCAGGCAGTGGGCACCATAGGTTGCGAACAAATTCTTGTGGTCTCAAGCGTCCTGAAGTTAAATCAGTTACATTGGCTTTGCATGGCACTTGTGGCAACTCGCATGTAAACTGAAAAATATATAAAAGATTAATGACAACATATTAATGTTCTATTAATATGATTACAACATAATATTCTTTATACAGAATTTAATCAAATGTATAGGGCTAAAATTAATGCCCATAATTTTCAGGATTATATACAACGCTCATTTGCTTAAAACATCTTTAATTCATGTTTATTGTAAGACATTTACATTCGAAAACTATTAGCCTTACCGAGTTAACTTGAGCCATGATATATATGACTGTGATTGCTGCAATTGTCAAAACTAATCGTAGCACAAATCTTCTTGATGGGTCCCAAGTAGTAACTTTCAACCTATTCATAGATAAATATTAAATAATATATATAGCATATAAGTATTTCACAAAATCAGATTAAACTACACTGTACTGTGATGTTTAGCTTAAAAAGATCAATTAGTTTGAGAACCTTCTGTTTCAGCAGGACCTCTGTCACATGAAAAAATCACCATTGAATTTAATGAAACACCAATTTCTGGGTGAGCCTCAATGGCACCCTGAAGTTACTATAACTGATAAGATACTATCTAAGAGGTCACATCAGCAGTAGAGTTCTACAGGCCTACCGGTGACCAAAGCCAGAACCTGGCTCCTGCAGAGGCACAGGGAGCGGTGTCATTTATTTATGTATGCCACTACCAGGGAGCAACCAGAAAGTCAGTGAGATAAAACAGGCAAACAGGCTCCGTGTCAGGGAGCCTCCAGGGCTCACCTAGAAATTAGTGATTGATGATTGATGAAGATTAAGCCACCCAAAAGGTGGCACGGGCATGAATAGCCCGTAAGTGGTGGCCCTTTTGAGCCATTACCAGTATCAAGAGCTGATACTGGAGATCTGTGGAGGTACAACTGCACCCTGCGTGACAGGAGATGTCTCCCGTGTAGAAATTAGTGTTTCATTATATTCAATGCTGATTTTCTGGAGGGAGCTCCATCGGCTCCCACCATACACCCACTAAGAAGAAAAGAAAAAACAGCGTTAAATGTAATGAAACACCATTTTCTGGGTGAGCCCTGGAGGCTCACTGGAGGTATTTGGACTGATATTGGCTATATTAGTCTGGGGCTCCAATCAATTGGAGTTCTGCCTACCGGGGACCACGAGCCACAACCTGTACCCCCCCCCCTTCCCAAGAGACACAGGGAGCAATGGCCTAAGGAAAATCCTATTTTTGGGGAGTATATCATCTGCCATCAACCAGGGTTAGGCACCCAGAGAGATACTAGTCCCAAAACAAATCCCATCTGATATAAAACTGCAACCTAAGCCCAAACAGAACCCTAAACTTCCCATAAAATAAACAAGGAAACAAGAAAACGTCATCAGCCTGGCACGCCACTTGTTTGCGCAGCACCCCTCCCCTTCCCAGGATGGGGTGGGGGAGGGGGAGACCCGGATTTCTGTGCCGGCAGCCCACTCCTCATATCAGAGAATGAACTAACGAAACCGCTGACCTGAGGGAGGGAGGGTGCCATGGAGGCTCCAAAGCTCTTGTTGAAAATTTCATTTTGTTACATTCAACACTGGTTTTCTGTACGGAACCCCATCAGTTTCCTGGAGCTACATACCCAAAGATAATACTGCCATACTATATATAAGATAATACTACATACTGCCCGAAACGCTGTGCGTACTAGTGGCTTTACAAGAATGTAAATACTGTAGTATCCAATGTATTCTCACAAACCCAATGTACCTTCTTGTATATATATGAATAAATAAATAAATAAATAAATAAATAAATAAATAAATAAATAGATAGATAAGTAAAAGAGGGACTTACCCCTGAAGGCGGCAGCAACACTTGCCTCAACTCGAAGACGAGACAACTGACTGCAACCAGCGGCCCAAGGCCACACAAGAATGACTTGGACACAAAACATTCACCAAATAGCAGGACGGTCAAGACCCTGTTCAACCTCTAAAAAGCCCGCGCCCGAATGTCAGCCTAGGACATGTTCCCAAACACAGTCACAAGAGCAGCATAATTACAAACATCATGGGCGTGAGGGTAGACCCAGGCTGGCTAGACTTAACCCTTTAACTGCGCGGCCTATAAATATGACACTCCCCCAGTGCGCAAGAAATAAATTCTCGGGAAAAAAATCCTTTTAGTTCTGAAAGTGTCAAAAACCCTTCCCTGTATATGGGTATAGCAACGGAATTTCGAACTTGTACTTACTTTGGCTGCTATGGGGTCCATAAGTTGGCGCGACGTCATCGTTCCCCGTGCGCCCGTGCAGTAAGCTCCCGGGGCAGGGCGCGCGAGTTGCCGCGAATATACTTTTGTTCATTTTTTGCGCACAGTTCCAAATACATTTTATTTGTTTTTATGTGCTAATCCTATGTATAATGAACACGTACACCATATTATGGCAGTAAAACATCCGTACTATCCAAGGACACTGTGTTACGTGCATGACACTTGTGTACACATTAGCTGCACATATTTACCATGTATCATGCTAATTTATGTATATATACAATCTATTTACAGACTATACACTGTCACACACTATATACATTCACCATCATCACATTCAGAACACCGCGAGTGTGAGCAGCCACACCCAGCCAGCCCTCCCTCACTCCTCCAACATTTTATTCGCCAACTTTGCCCCTCCCATCAGACAGTTATTCACACCAATGTTTCATGTACATTTATGTATATTTACAACTTATGTACACACTATACACTGTCACACACTCTACCATCAACATATTCAGAACATCGCGTAGCAGCTGCCTCGCATGGGCCAATGGCAGCTGCCTCGCATGGGCCAATGGCAGCTGCCTCGCATGGGCCAATGGCAGCTGCCTCGCATGGGCCAATAGGCCTTCTGCAGTTACCTTTGTTCTTATGTTCTTAGCTCCTCTCAACATACTCCTGTTGCTGTTATTACACTATATACACACACACACACTGTATATACCCATGTACATGTGTGTTCCCCATAGCGAACTACGAAGCTAGTATGGTGAGCAAAACAAGAATGGCTGCCACACAGTGAGGGTACCTCAATTCTCTCCCTCCCTCCCTCACCAAAATACCTCCTTCCACAATACTATGCTCAACACTAATTATAACCAAAAAACTGATCACTAATTCCTGTAAATGAATAATTGACCACAAGTTTATTTTGAAAAGAAACCTAAAAGGTTGTTTGAAGATTCCTAGATGGACGAAATAATGCTGTGGTGCTGTGGCTAGCGCTGTGAACATCGTGAACAGCATTGAATCCCTGATATTTGAACATTGTACCCAGTCATTATCACACTCAGGCACTTCTATAATTAGAACACAGAAGAAAAAGATGTGATATGATCACTACATTCAAAATAGTAACAGGAATTTATAAAATCGATAGGGAAGATTTCCTGAGACCTGGAACTTCAAGAACAAGACGTCATAGATTTAAACTAGCTAAACAAAGATGCTGAAGAAATATAAGAAAATTCACTTTCACAAACAGAGTGATAGACGGTTGGAACAAGTTAGGTGAGGTGGTGGTGGAGGCCAAGACCGTCAGTAGTTTCATAGCGTTATATGACAGTGTTGGGAAGATGGGACACCACGAGCATAGCTCTCATCCTGTAACTACACTTAGGTAATTACCAAAACCCAAGCAGGATCAAAGGGATCCAAGAACCCCAGGCGACTCCACCCCAGCCCCGGGAGCCTCTGAACCAGGCCCTGGTACGGAGCCATCCTCCATACCCTCCACCCCTGAAGAAAAGGCAGAGTCCAGGGAAAAAAAAAGGCAGCAAAGAAGAAGGCCTGCTGGGAAGGCCCAGAAGCCCACAGCAAGAGGATCAGGCCTGAATGCCTCCTTCTCCCTCTGGAATGGGGCAGTCCCTGGGGCCGCCCGAGTCCCATTACCATCTAAACCCTGCCCCGACTCCGAAACCCTCAGATGTTTGGGAGCCAGCAGCAGGGGGGGAGGAGGAGCAGGAGAAAGACCTGTAGGCTCGGAATGAACCTAGGTCAAAGCGACCAACACCCCCAGGTCCAGGTCCTTAAAATCAAAACGGGGCAGCCCTGGGGTATCCGAGCGGACAAGCAACCTAGCGCGTTGCAACAACCTATACCTATTATGCAATGCAAACTCCGCCTCACCCCTAGGAACTTCCAAAGAAGAATGGGTAAACTGGAGTATGAGCAGGGAGCACTTCTCGTAAGACTCCGGGAAAAAGTTGTCGCCAACCCAATATGCAGCATGACAAGAGGCAAAACAGACGATTGTCATCCCAAGAAAAGGGCAATGAACATCCCCCAAGCAAAGAAACCCCTTCTTGATACCTCTGAACCTCCAGAGAGGAATGGCTGAACTGGAGCACACAGAAGGAACAAGTTCAACATGACTCAGGGTTATAGGTGTCATTGACTCAGCTAGCCTCAACAATGGTAGAGGCAAAATATATGAATGTTGCCTGGTGGCACAGGTGAAGAACAACCCACTAATTCGCTCAAGGCGATAGCAGGCTAGGAAGAGGAATCCATAGTACAACCAAGACCACAGGAGTTTTCCAGGGTCTGCAGGGTGGCTCAGGGTGAATGAGCCCTGCAGGAAGCCCAGGCACTGGGGTCTGCTACGACAGTAAACTCCTGTCAAGGCAGGTAATCAGACCACCCGAAGCCTAAGGCAAGGTCAAAGGGGCAGCAAAGGGGTTCCACTGCACACACCCTAGACACTCTTAATAAGACAAAAGGCAGAACCCCCAAGCAAAGGGCAAGCGTAAAGTAACAAAAACAATAACGCTAATATAAAAACAAATAAATCAAACTGCACCGAAAGAGCAGCCAGGAGAAACCTCAGCATGCCGTGCGCTAGCTAAGAGCAGGACACAGACTGCAGTGTACCCCACCAGCTAAAAACACTCCCAAACCCGAAGTAAGACAGAAAGCCCCAAGTCCCCGTCTTACTTAAAGGGCAAGGGTCACCCCAAGGAAGGAGGCCCCCTTAACAGGAATGTTTCTTGAACATTCCAGGGTTTATATTCCTGACTCACGCACACTTTTGTGTAACAAAACAGCCTGAGAGGCAAAAACACCACTCGAAAACAGGAGTGAAGCCAGAGTGACCTTGACTACCAGGCACGGACATCAGTCAAGTACTGACTATTGAGGGCCCAGCTGACCTGGGCCGGCTACCTCCTCCCTTCTAACAAGGAGGTGGTGGAGCTAATTAGCATGGAGATAGTTTCACAAAGTTTTGGTTATTTGTTGTTATTGTTGGAGGGAGTGCTTTTGACATTTGGGGGCTACAGTCTCATTTTAAACCATGCAGTGGTCTGTTTTGAGTTGCCTCTTTTTCTGGGTGGCTTCCCTAGGTGATGGCAAAGATGATAACCTTTAAATGTAAAGTAGTCATAGGCTGTCACTCCCTACACCTCTCGAAGGTAACAAGGTTCTGGCTTGTGGTCCCTGGAAGACATAAAGAACTCCGCAACTGATGACACTAAGTAAAATGGCACTGAACACTATCCTTCTCTTTGGACATGACTCGCGTCCATTTTTTTCTCCCAAGTCCTAGCCGTGGACAGGACTTGTGTCTACTACAAACATATTTGTATAAAAATCATTTTTTATCCGATCGACCTCAGGATAGTTTCAAAATAAGTGCATTTAGAATGCGCACAATTTGATACCAAAATGAAAGATGTAACACAAAACTTGATGTCGGAACACTTGAAAGATTATAAATACTTTTTGGGTCTAAATTTTAAATTTTAAAATGTTTGTTAAAATTCTATTTATTGTGCTATTATTATGAGATTAGTTTTAAAATGCGCACTTTTATATTGCGAACAATTTGATACCAAAACGAGCGATGTAACATGAAATTTTATGTCAGATCACTAGAAATATATAAATAATTTTGATAAGCATCCAAAATTAAAATATTTGTTAAAATTCTAGTTATTGCTGTATTATGGGACTAGTTTTAAAATGCGCGCCTTTATTTTGCGAACAATTTGATACCAAAACGCGCGATGTAACATGAAAATTGATGTTATCAAACTGAACGAGTATACACATTAGGCTGTGGTGTGCAAATTGGAGCGCGTTCACGGGTAACTTTAGGCTTTGCTGCAGGGAGTCTCGCCAGGCTTTTGGACATTATATGCATATACATCTGCAGGGAATTTAATTGCAAACACAATGATACCAAAATGAACGACGTAGCACGAGAATTAAGGCGAGAAAACTGAAATGAGTAAGCACATTTTACTGATTTTGTGCGCTCATGGTAACTTTTCCGACTTTAGGCTTTGCTGTGGGGAGTCTCGCCAAGCTATTAGACATTATATGCATATACATCTGCAGGGAATTTAATTGCGAACACAATGATACCAAAACGAATGACGTACCAGAATTAAGGTGAGAAAACTGAAACGAGTACACACATTTAGGCGTCGCCGCACACTCGCCCGCACCATTAGCCCCATGACGTCAAAGTCTGCTGAGCACGCATAGCGCCAGCGATAGTGTTAATCAATGTGGTTAAGTGCCAACGGGACTTTTGGGAGTCGACGGGGCACCACTTAGCTAAAAACAGAACACCGGAGCTAAAGAGCCAGAGAGGGGTGACTACTGCACAAGACTAACATCAGAATAGAATTGACAGTGGAGTAGCCAGCTGACCACAGGCTGCTTCCCTTCTCTCCCCAAACAAGGGGGAGGTGGGGTGAACGTGCTGGTACTAGTTTCATGGTGTTTTGATTGATTGCTCACATTGTTGGGGTAGTTCTTTGGGGGTTCTCAAGGCTTTGGTCTCATTTGAAATAAGCAGTGGTTTGTATTGTTTTCCTGACTTTTTGGGTGCCTTCCTTGGTGGTAGCAGACATGAATAAATTTCTAAACATTTTATCATAAGTGCCACTGCTCCCTCCACTTCTGTAAGGGGCCAGATTCTAGCTCATGGTTTCTGGTAGGCCAATAGAACTCTGCGACTGATGGGACCTAGTAGCATAGCATAATGAGAGATAGTAGCTTAAAGGAACCAAAAGGAGATTCCCCAGAAATGTTGTAAGGAGGTAGGCTGTTTTCTAGAGGGGGTAAATATAATAAGCTATTTTCAAAATATTAGATTAATATGTAATGAAACATTCCTGTAACCAATTTACCTCATAAGAAGGACTTGGTATTTAAGTAATGTATTAATTAATAATGTCAATTTCATTATCTTTAGGATACATTTCATTACAAAATATTTACTATAAAAAGTGCAGTCAGTCAGGACACCTACCTGGATGCTAGTAGAACAATGAGCATAACAGATATGGTAACAAATGCTGCAAGAAACAGGAAAAGGAAGAGCAAAGTTCGTGGCAACACCAGCGCCTGCACTGATGCCACAAACAGCAATAAAAACAGGGAACAGAGTAAAGAGTTTCCGAAGCCCACATCTACCTCCTCATGATACTGAAAAAAATGAAAATTTGCAATGTAGTGGAATACATGTACTTGGTTTTTAAGTACATTAAGTACAAATTAGAATATAAACAGAAGGAAGGAGGCAGTGAGTTGATGAAGAGGGAAATGAGAGGAGGAACAGGAGGCAGAGAAAGGAGGAAGGGGGCGGGGCAATGAGAGGAGGAAGGGGGGGCAGTGAGAGGGTGAAGGGGGTGCCAGTGAGAGGAGGAAGGGGGGGGCATTGAGAGGAGGAAGGGGGGGGGGCACTGAGAGGAGGAAGGGGGGGGGCACTGAGAGGAGGAAGGGGGGGGGCACTGAGAGGAGGAAGGGGGGGGCAATGAGAGGAGGAAGGGGGGGCAGTGAGAGGAGGAAGGGGGCAGTGAAAGGAGGAAGGGGCAGTGAAAGGAGGAAGGCAGGCAGTGAAAGGAGGAAGGCAGGCAGTGAGAGGAGGAAGGAGGGGGGGCAGTGAGAAGAGGAAGGAGGGCAGTGAGAGAGGAGGAAGGGGGGGGGGCACTGAGAGAAGGAAGGGGGGGGGGGCACTGAGAGGAGGAAGGGGGGGGCACTGAGAGGCGGAAGGGGGGGGCACTGAGAGGCGGAAGGGAGGCAGCAAGAGAGGAGGAAGGGGGGGGGCAGTGAGAGGAGGAAGGGGGGGTCAGTGAGAGAAGAGAAAGGAGGTGGTTGAGAGAGGAGGAAGGGGGGGTCAGTGAGAGAGGAGGAAGGGGGTCAGTGAGAGAGGAGGAAGGGGGTCAGTGAGAGAGGAGGAAGGGGGTCAGTGAGAGAGGAGGAAGGGGGTCAGTGAGAGAGGAGGAAGGGGGTCAGTGAGAGAGGAGGAAGGGGGTCAGTGAGAGAGGAGGAAGGGGGTCAGTGAGAGAGGAGGAAGGGGGTCAGTGAGAGAGGAGGAAGGGGGTCAGTGAGAGAGGAGGAAGGGGGTCAGTGAGAGAGGAGGAAGGGGGTCAGTGAGAGAGGAGGAAGGGGGTCAGTGAGAGAGGAGGAAGGGGGTCAGTGAGAGAGGAGGAAGGGGGTCAGTGAGAGAGGAGGAAGGGGGTCAGTGAGAGAGGAGGAAGGGGGTCAGTGAGAGAGGAGGAAGGGGGTCAGTGAGAGAGGAGGAAGGGGGTCAGTGAGAGAGGAGGAAGGGGGTCAGTGAGAGAGGAGGAAGGGGTCAGTGAGAGAGGAGGAAGGGGGTCAGTGAGAGAGGAGGAAAAGGGGTCAGTGAGAGAGGAGGAAAAGGGGTCAGTGAGAGAGGAGGAAGGGGAGTCAGTGAGAGAGGAGGAAGGGGGGGTCAGTGAGAGAGGAGGAAGGGGGGGTCAGTGAGAGGAGGAAAGGGGGTCAGTGAGAGAGGAGGAAGGGGGGTCAGTGAGAGAGGAGGAATGGGGCAGTGAGAGAAAGGAGGAAGAGGAACAGTGAGTGAAGGAAGGTGAAAGGAGAGGTGGAGGAAGCTATAGGGGTTAAATAATAAATTCCCTATAAAGAAAATTAGGTCATTAGCACCAAATACATGTACATGCAATCAGTTGATATGTAAATGACAATTATGTACAGTTTGTACATGAAGATATCAAAATATAGAAAAATATGATAATTAAAAAGTATAGATAAAAAAAACAGCATTGAATGTAATGAAACGCCATTTTCTGGGTGAGTCCCGGAGGCTCTCCGGAGCTTACTAGGCTGATATGTTAATGTCAGACTTTGGCATCAGTCATGTGTATGGAGTTTTTATGGGCCTCCTGGGGACCACGAGCCAGAACCTGGCCCCCTCTAGAGAGGCAAGGGGAGCAATGGCCTATAGAAACCCCCGTGTAATTGGAAGCATTCTATGCCTGCCATCGATCGGGTTAGGCACCCAGAAAGGTAGGCGTCCCAAAACAAACCCCTATTCTGGTGAAAATTGCAACCCAAAGCCGAACGAGTGGATAGAACTCCCCAAACAAAAACGAGCAAACTAGTATGACGTCACCAGTCGTCGCATCGCTGTCTGTGCAGCCCCCCCTTCCCCAAGAGGGGGAAGGGGTAGCCCCAGACTTACTGCGCCCGCAATCTACATACCAGTTCTGAGGCTGGATGTCAAAACACATGAAAAAATCGCCGACCGGGAGGGAGGGAGGGATGCCGGGGAGCCTCCGAGACTCACCCAGAAAATGGCGTGTCATTACATTCAACACTGGTTTTCTGGGGGGAGCCCCTACAGCTTCCCAGAGCTAACTACCCACAGAGGAAAGAATAGGGATTTACCTGGGAGGCAGCCGCTGCTCACTCCTCAACCCAAAGGATGCAGCCAGACAACTGGCTGCATCTGCTGACCCAAAGCGACACAGGCCCAACTGGGCCCAGGTACATTCACTAGGTTACGAGCAGCCAGGACCCTGTTTGACCGCCAAAATCCCAGCGCCCGAATGTCAACCCAGGACATATTGCCAAAGACTGCAGCAAGAGCCGCGAACTTGCGAACGTTATGGGCACGGGGATAGACCGCAGGCTGGCTAGCTTTAATAACCCTGCGGACGACCTGGGAAACCCGCACCCTCAAACAGGGAAGAAGGGAAACCGGAACAACCCAAAGTGCGTCCACGGACATAGAAGTCGTGGCACGCAAATAACGGCAGAACGAACAAGAGGGAAAGGACCAGGAGGTGCGAACTAAACTAGGGTCGAAGCGACCCCCACCCCCCAAGACCGGGTCCCTATAAGCAAAACGTGGCAATCATGGGACATCCAGGTGAGCAACCAACCTAGCGCGTTGCAACAACCAAAATCTAGAATGCAAAGCCTGCGCAGCCCGTACCCGAAGATGATCATCTACAGATTGGGTAAATTGAGTCACCAGCAAGCAACAATACTCACAAGAGTCAGGGTCGAAAGTGTCACTGACCAAACAGGCTGTGTGACGGAGGCAAAAACAGTGAGGGTCGCCCTGAGACAAGGGGACCGAACAACCCCCAAATTCGCACGAAGTGAAGGGGGACCCCGGGGTTACATCCATCGGACCCACGCATCCCCTAGGGGATTCCCAGGGTCCTGAGCGTTTACTTGAAAAGGACTCGCGCTCAGGTAAACCCAGGCAGGGTACTACTAACCGGCACCCCAAAACTTCCAAACAAACTGCCTAACGCTGAGCCCCAAGGACGCGTACACTTACGGGGACCAAGCAGAGGGGAAGGTACCACCAAGTATCAGGGTGAGGCCAAACACCAGTAGCAAATAGGGCAGAACCCCCCACTAAGGCAAAAACAGAAAGAAAAACAAAACCCCGTAAGAGGACAATGTACCCCAAGGAACAGATAGTGAAGTACAACAGCCACACACAAGGCACAGCGCCACAAAATACTAAAAGACAGCGTTGAATGTAATGAAACCAGAATAGGGGTTTGTTTTGGGACCATTTTGGGTGCCAAACCCGGTGGGCAGAGACTTCCAGAGGCTCCCCCTTGCCTCTCTAGAGAGGGCTATCCAGGCCCATGATATGTAACTATTAGCTTTCTGGCATCAGTCAAAATGAAACGCCATGCATGGAGTTCTTGCCTACCTGGGTGCATGGAGTTCTTGCACGACCACGAGCCAGAACCTGGCCCCCTCAGAGAGGCACGAGGAGCAATGGCCTATAGAAACCCCCATATGATTGGGAGCAATCTATGTCTGCCAACGACCTTGTCTAGCACCCAGAAAGATAGGCACCCCAAAACAAACCGCTATTATCTGTGAAAATATTGCTACCAAAAGCCGAACGAGTGGACAGAAGTCCCCAACGAAAATTAGCAAACAAGCATGATGTCATCACTTTGCCACACCGATGTCTGCACAACCCCCCTCCCTCCCAAGGAGGGGGAAGGGGGGGGGGAGCCCCCGAACCTCGAGCCGGCAATCCAACCAGCAGTTCTTAGGCTGGATGTCAAAAACACGCGAAAGCACCGCCGACCAGAGGGAGGGAGGGAATGAGGGATGCCAGGGAGCCTCCAGGTGTCCCCCAGAAAATGGTGTTTCATTATATTCAACGCTGGTTTTCTGGGGGGGGGAACCTCGTTGGTTTCCCGGAGCTAACTACCCAAAGACAAGAAAAAACACAGGGACTTACCCGGGAGGCGGTCAGTCCTCACTCCTCAATGCGAAGTCGAGACAACTGGCTGCAACTGCCGACCCAATTCAACACAGGCCCTACCAGGTCCAGGGACACTGACAAGGTAGCGAGTGGCCAGGTCCCTGTTCGACCTCCAAAAACCCCGTGCCTGAATATGAACCCAAGGCATGTTGCCAAAGATGGCTGCCAAATCAGCAAACTTATGAACGTTGTGGGCATGGGGATAAATCGCAGGCTGGCTAGACAATGACCCCATGGACGATCTAGGAGACCCAAGCCCGGGAACAGGGAAGGAGGGAAACAGGGTCAACCCAAAGTGCATCACCAGCCACTGAAGCCATGGACCGCAAATAATAGCGGAGAGCCACAACTGGACACAACACATGATGCACCCCGGCCTGACTGACTAAGCCTCAACAACCCAAGGACCCCTCCAGAAAGCAGCAGTCTCATTCTTCTCCAGAAAATAGAGACTGCCGCAACCGAACAAACATACCACCAGGAGCGAAGGAGCAGAAACCTCTGTGCCAGAGGAGAGCATGAAGCTCCCCGACCCGACCACCCCAGAGGCCAATGCCAACAGGAAAAAGATCCTTAGAAAAACAATCCTGAACTGAGGGGGGCCACTACACACCGAGGAGAAGTGAGAAAAAAGAGTACCTGGTCCAAAGGCCAGGAGGAGCCTGAGAAGGCCGGAGGTGAAACAACGCATGAGACAGCTTGCTGAATGGGGGCAGAAGTAACATCAATACTGAACGCAAGCTGGAGCAGTTACGCCAGCGCCACACAATACGAGGCGACAGTATTCGGCATAAGATAACGGTCCTGGAACAACCATGAAAGGAAGGACAAGACAATGCTATCAGAGACCTTAGTACACCTATGCTGTGATAGGAAAAACCAGAAGGACAGCCAGGAAACTTCATAATGCCGCCAA